CGTAAAACTTGTCCAGACTTTCTTACTTTTCCTGAATCACACTCAAGCTCATTTGTGCCTCTTTGCCTTTGCATATGCTGGTTCCTCTACCTGTATATTCTGTGAATTGCTAGCACCCAGAACAGTGAGTGAGTTGCAGAAATGTCATATCCAGAAGTAGGAATAATATTGCTGATGTATCGATGTCATTCTAGAACATTGGACAATGTTTCAAAAAAAAAAAAAAAAAGACATGATTTACAATTGATGTCAAATATGTCAAATCCTTAAAATCTGAATCTGAAGGAGGGGTAACAGGTTTGGATTAAGCCTACATGGGGTTTAGGAATAGTAGGGAAGATAGAAGTCCTGAAGTTGCCAGTTACCTGTACTCAGATGGGTTCATCTGGAGGAAAAGTGTAGTGAAGGGATATGGGCTTCTTTGGGCCCCCAAAAGTCCCAAGATCCAGTATCTGATCTTATCCAAAGCCTTATCCAAGTCAGCTCCTGCAGACTTTGCACATCTCAGGGAGGAAGGAATTTGGAGGTTATGGGTAGGGATGAGTATAGGAGAGAAGTAGTCTTCCCAAACTCCACCTAGGCCACCCGAAATCAGGGGATGAAAAACTCAAATATAAATAAATGTAATAAATGGAAATGAGTGAAACAAGAAAGCTCAATATAAAGAAAATTATATGGGGGATGCCTGGGTGGCTCAGTCAGTTGAGTGTCCAACTTCGGCTCGGGTCATGATCTCACAGTCCGTGAGTTCGAGCCCCTCATCGGGCTCTGTGCTGACAACTCAGGGCCTGGAGCCTGCTTCAGATTCTGTGTCTCCCTCTCTCTCTGCACCTCCCCTGCTCATGCTCTGTCTCTCTCTCTGTCTCAAAAATAAATTTAAAAAAAATTAAAAAAAAAAAAAGAAAATTATGTGGGCCCCCTTAACTTGTTTTTTGTTTTTTTCACTTTTGATGGAGAAATGACTATTGTGGGGGAAAAGAATTTTTTTTGAAACAATATTTTCAAGAGAAGCCAGTAACCCAGATTTGTATACAAAATGTCCCAATCCTAAATATTGGCTCAACAATTTTAAAACACCATGTAGGCCAAACGATACATCTAGGAGTTGAATTTGGCCCAGCAGGACACCAATACGTGACGTCTAAAGTTTACTGTCAGGTGTAATGAAATACCAGGAGGCTTTCTCCTTTTTTCTTAAATTTTTTAAATGTTTATTTAATTTTGAGAGAGAGAGAGAGACACTGAGCAGGACTGGGGAAGGGGCAGAGAGAGATGGAGACACAGAATCCGAAGCAGGCTCCAGGCTCTGAACTGCCAGCACAGAGCCCAATGTGGGGCTCGAACTCATGAACTGCGAGATCATGACCTGAGCTGAAGTTGGCTGCCCAACCAACTGAGCCACCCAGGCACCCCAATACCAGGAGGCTTTCTGACCAAAGCAAACCTCAGTGTTAAGGCAACATTTATATGCAAAATATTTGTGTTAGATAATAATCCAGACTTCCATCCAACATAAAAACCTGGTCTTTTCCGCCAAAGTAGAAGCAGGTAACCGACACTTGTCAAAGACTGGTGGACAGTGCAGAAGGGGAACCAGGATGCAGAATTTGCTCAGAGACTTGTCCTGTTGGCTTTAACTGGGTACAGCCCATGGAAGCAACAGGCAGTAGGCACACCCGCAACAGCAGGTGATGCCACTTCACAGGGTTTATAAAGATTTCCTTTTCTAATATTGTGGACTTCATACTGGAATTGTTTCTAGTTGCTTCATTCCATGAGGTGTCACTGGGCCCAACAACATCTCTTCTGGATGGAGCTAGAGGGGTAGATCCTAAGAATTGTATTTTGGGGGACATGTATGTCTTCCTGGCTAGGTCATTTGGGGTGAGCCCACTGGGAAGCCAGTTTTCTTCCACACCTCTTGTCTGTGCTCATATGGGGGCTGACTGTATGGGTGTGAGTTGCTGGGTGGAAAGCTGGCACTTAAGGGTGTCACCCTGACAATGTGGGCAGAGTAGGAGACCTGGCAAAGTGATGATAGGAATCTCTGAGCATGGGGTGGGGAAATGTAATTATTGGTATGAAAAGGGTGGCAGTAGCTGTAAAACTGGTCCCCTCCACCTACCCTGTTGATTCCATCACTCCTCTTTTTCTAGGCTCTTATCTTAGCAACTATACCCTTCTGGCATCTGGTTCCTGCCTTTCATCCTCCTGGTAGACATAAGTTTTCCTTTCCTCCCGAAGGAGCTTCCCTAACATTTCTTCCCTCTCAACTTACTGTAACGTGGCTTCTGTCTGCTGCACCCTTCCACTAAGCTGCCCTCTCTAAGGCTGCCCCTGATCCAATTGCCAAACTCTTCTGTAGCTTTCAGTCCTTTCACCGTCTTCTCCTTGCCTTCCTGGGATTCCAAGACATAACACTCCAAGTCTCTTACCTCTCTGTCTGCTCTTTTCTGTCCTTTCCTGCTGGCTCCCCGGTCTTCAATCATTCCTGAAATGTTGCTGTTACTGGAGTTAATGGCACTTCCAAATGGCTTCCTTGTAATGACCTGTAAAAGATGCAGCATGCTCTGATTGAAGACAGCCACAGGCCAGAGCGCGTGGCTTGGCAAGCAGAGCTTGGAAAACACCCTATAAAACCGCATGCTGCCACCCAGGGTACTATCCCCAGTCCTCATCCCTTTTTTGCTTTACTCTCTTTTCCTCTGCAACCTGTTGACTTTCATGGTTCCAAGACTTGCATGTCTTACTTAATCTCTAGACATCCTTTCATCTGCTTCCTGTATTTCTCTTCTTGGGGGTCCTGTGGGTGCCCCAAACTTGCCAAGGCCCAAACTGAATTCATTACCTGCTTAATTGCATACTCCCAAATATCTATTTTTCTGTACTCCCTCTCTTGGTTAATGACACCACGATCCAGTTTCTCGCTCAGCTGAATACTTCCAGATTATCTGTGTCTCTTCCCTTTCCTCAATTTAAGGATCGTTTTCTACAGACACTACTGGAACAGTCTTCTAACTAGTTTCTCTATCTCCAGAATCTCTCCCCTCTAAGTCGCCCTCCTCAGTGCCGTTGGGTTTCTTTCTTTACACAGAATTGAGCACATCGTTCCTTTGTTTAAAAATCAATTTTGGCATCTAATTACTCATAGGTTAAACTACAGATGCTGGGGCATGGCATATAAACCCTTCATATCCTGACCAAAGCTACCTTTCCAGTTCTATACCTCGCCCCTGATCTCAAACCCTTCCTTGCTCTTAACCACATCAGACTCTGATGCAGTTTCTTCAACATGATTTTGCTGTGTGCCTTAATGCTCTGTGCCTTTGCTGCTGCCTTGCGTGCCCTTCCTCTTTTTTGCCTTATAAAATCCCATCCATTCTAAGATTATGCTCACCTGTCACCTCTTTTTTCAGGAGCTTCTGGCCCTAATTAACAGCTCTCTCATCACTGTTTCTGCAGCACTATTGGTATGCTACTATCGATTGTCTAAAAGTTATTTTGCATCTTCCCCACTACACTGTGAGTTTCTTAAGGGGAAGTTGAAGCTTTATTGGTCTCCATATCATCAGCAGCTTGCTTCGTGCCTGGTACCTTGTAGACAATGAATAAAATTTTGAGTTGAATTGGGCAAGATGCTCGGGCATCATTTTGTGAAAGTACTTCTTTCAGCCTAATTTCCACCTGTTCCCTTTCTTCAGCCATCAGAAGAATCTCAAAACAGGACAGTCCATGGGCCCTTTTGGAGATAGTTAATATCATATCCCCAAAATGTTAGCTAGGTCTCCGTAGGAACATAAGAGATTGTGCTTTCTCAAGTGACTAGTATCTGAGTGTGGATTTTTCCAGATAATAGAATTCTGTAGAACCAGTGATGATTCTCAATATAGCTCCTAGAGTCCAGGTTCCACAATAGACTCTCCGTGTTCTGAGTAGCAGAGTCGGGATTTTCAGCGATAAGGCAGATATATTTGTATTTACTTTATCATCTGTGGGTCGCATCCCAGTGGGTTTAGATTTCATAGCGCGAAAAACAATATTAAAGGGCATCACAATCTCAAAACCATGGAAAATCGCTGAGTTATCTTGAAAGCCTGCAGAGAGGAGGGGGGCAGCTCATTTGCAGTTTTGTAGAGGGCCTGGCAAAACAGTGTTGGTGCATAAGACTGACCTCTGTCATCCCCCTTAGTTAAGCCCACAGTACATGCTGGGCTAAGCAGGAAACACTCACTGACTCCATGAAGCCCAGAATGGATAGTTTTCTTTGAACGAGCAGATGTCTTATTTGTAGAACCGTGGTAGTAGCTTCTGAGTGGGTGGGAAAGAGCGTGGTTCCAAATTCCCCTCAAATACAAGAACTTGGTCCTGACTAGAATCCAAGCAACAAGTTGTCATCGAAAACGCAGTGAATGGTCAGCTAAGGATGCCTCCGGGTAGAGCCTTTGGGAACATTTTGTGTGTGTGTCTGCACGAGCCCACCCACCCTTAAACCCTGGGCTTAATGATGCGGCCCCTCAGCTCCGCCTTACTGCCTCGAGCGCCCTTTAGGCTTCCGGGAAGGCTTAATGGGTCCATTCCCCAAGGCCAGAGTATTCGGGCTCCGGATCCAGCACGGAACGGCTGGGGCGCCCCGAGGGCTAGGAAGCGCGAGCCGGATGCGCTAGGGCGCCGGCGCCGCGTGGGTCGACCCCGGGCCGCGCGGAGGTGGGGCGGGGGCGCGAGCTGGATGGAGCTCGTCGGGAGCCCGCCCGGTCGTCCCTCCCCCGGGCGGGGCCTGCCCAGACGGCGCTGACTCAGCAACGCGAGGGGGAGTTTTGTCCCTCCGCGGACCCCGTTTCTCTGGGCTTCAGCCCTCCTCTGCCACCGGGCCGGTTCCCTCTTTCTGGCGTTCGGTGTGTGAGTGGCAGGTCCGGCAGCTGAGGCAGCGAGCCACAGTGTAACCCCGGCGTTCCCCTGAGAACCCCAAAACTACCGTTCCCCAGCCGGGCGGTGTGGCCACCATGAGCAACGCGGGTGAGGCGCCGCTCTTTCCCGCCGAGGCCCTGCCGGGGTCCTCTCGGGGGGGTTCAGCTGGGCCCCAGAGGCCCGGCGGCGGAGAGAACCGGGCCTGGGACCGGGGGCGATGGCGGGAATGGAGCGTTCTAGGCGGGCAGGAGCGTTCTTGGAGGGAGACAGCACTTGGAGGAGGTCGCCGGTAAGGGGCCTCTCCGCCGCAAGGGTCACCTCCGGCTGGTCTTCCGAAGTTAGAGCCAAGCTGTGGGAGCTCCGGATCAGCCCTCTTGAGCCCCCTTTTGATACTATCAATACCATTTGGTCTTCCAACAGGACTGAATTCGGAGAAGGTAGCTGCTCTGATTCAGAAACTGAACTCCGACCCTCAGTTCGTACTTGCCCAGAATGTTGGGACCACCCACGACCTGCTGGACATCTGCCTGAAGAGGGCCACGGTACAGGGTGCTCAGCATGTGTTCCAGCACGCTGTGACTCAGGAAGGCAAGCCAGTCACCAACCAAAAGAGCTCAGGTGAGGTCTCAAAACTCCTTGCACACTTTACTTAACCTTCCTGACAGTGCCCCATTTTGAGGTCTTAAGAATGGTACTGAGTAGAAGAAGTTTGCATTGAAAGAACTTGTAAATTTCCAGGGAACAGGCACAGGGAAAGGCAGGTCCAAGAACATTACCTTGTGACTTACTTTGGTCCTCTGTGGCTTGATGGTGTACTTGGCGTTGAGCGTTAAAGTGACAAGTCATGTGTTTGAATGTAATTCACTGTATTCCGTCCTGAAGTTATGTGATTGTGGCCCAGTGTCTTGGAGATACATGTTTTTAGTACGAAACAGACCATGCAAAAATGTTCATGCTCTAGAAAACTCTCCAAAATGTTCTTGCCCTGAAGGCCATATACAAATATATGGAGTGGAAAAGACACACGTAATTGTATCAAAATATCATCAAGTGTTTAAATAGGCCAAAAGTTACAGTTTGAGCAAATGTGCTAATGGGCTTAATTTCCACCAATAGACCAGTTTGTAATACAGAAAAATACTCAGTTCTCCTGCCTTACTGGTCAAGAGCTCTTGTTTTGCTGTCTAGCATGATTGTTTGAAAAGTAGCAATGTGAAAGATTGGTTAACCAGGAATCTAAATAAGGAGGACATTCTTATGGCAGAACTGTACTAAAAGGACTTTTAAAAGTCTATCCATTTAAAAACTAGTCCCAGTCGGGCGTCTGGGGCTCAGTGAGTTAAGCATCTGACTTCGGCTCAGATCATGATCTCACGGTTCACAAGTTTGAGCCCCGTGTCAGACTGTGCTGATAGCTCAGAGCCTGGAGCCTGCTTTGGATTCTGTGTCTCCCTCTCTCTCTGCCCCCTTGTACTCTGTCTCCCTCTCTCTCAAAAATAAACATTTAAAAAATAAATAAAAAATAAAAACTACTTACAGTGTATTTTGACAGAAAGCAGATCAGTGCTTGGTGAGAGCCAGTTAGAACTCAAAGTGTATGTTTAACATGGATATATTTTCTTGTATGGGAATCATAACTCCGTGATTTTTAGATGTTAAGGCCATGACCTTGCCATAATTAATGTTTTGCCATAGTAAGAAGTGCTTGGGATGCAAGTGATCCAGTGAGTAATGTCACAGTGGTCCTACACAGTTTAGATTGCAGTGGCCTCTTAGGGAAAAGCCTGGAAATGTGCCTCTGGAATAGATCAAGTCTTTTTTTTTTTTTTAATTTTTTTTTCAACGTTTTTATTTATTTTTGGGACAGAGAGAGACAGAGCATGAACGGGGGAGGGGCAGAGAGAGAGGGAGACACAGAATCGGAAACAGGCTCCAGGCTCCGAGCCATCAGCCCAGAGCCTGACGCGGGGCTCGAACTCACGGACCGCGAGATCGTGACCTGGCTGAAGTCGGACGCTTAACCGACTGCGCCACCCAGGCGCCCCTAGATCAAGTCTTATATTTTGTAGTATCACTTTTATTTACAAGAGTTACAAATAGCATATGAGCTATGTAGTTTTCACATTAACAGTACATACAGGTTTTTTTTACTGGGAAGTAATACAGTATATATGAGAGGGGTGACATACAGACAGACCCAAGGTAAAAATGAGCTAAGTAATTAGTGGTTTTTGAAAAATACTATAGTTGCTTACTTTTTTTCTTTTTTTAAAAAAATGTTTATTAGTGAGAGCATGAGTGAGCAGGGGAGGGACAGAGAGAGAATCCCAGGCAGGCTCTGTGCTGTCAGCACAAACTCAGACTCAGGGCTCAATCTCACAAACTGTGAGATCATGACCTGAGCTAAAATCAAGAGTCAGACACCCAACCAACTGAGCTACCCAGGTGCCCCTATCGTCATTTATTTTTAATTGTTTTTTCTTGTTACAAAGCTATTGTTCTTCAATGTAGAATATTTGCAAAATACCAACAGGTACATATTTTTAAAGTCAGGTCTTTATTCTTTGTGTGTGTATATGTGTGTGTGTGTGTGTTTAATATAGGTGGATACTTTACATATTGTTAGGTAACCCATCTACCTTTTTCATTTACCAATATAGCGGGAACATGCGTTTATAGCAGTAAAAAGATTACGCCCAGGAGTGCCTGGGTGGTTCAGTCAGTTAACCGTCCATCTCTTTTTTTTTCTTTAATTTTTTTTAATGTTTATTTATTTATGAGAGAGAGAGAGAGAGAAAATGAGTGAGTGGGGGAGGGGCAGAGAGCGAGAAAGACAATCTGAATCTGAAGCAGGTTCCAGCCTCTGAGCT